AGGCAGCTGAAGCGCTCTGTGGGACTGGTTTGTGGCCTGTGTGGAAAGGTCACCAGTCGGGGGCTGTAAGAAGCCCCGGATTCGAGCAATTTGCCCTGAGCGGACGCCCTCAGCTGTGCCCAGACACGGCCCGGTCCGTCACATCAAGGCACCAGAATGGGGTGGGGAGGTGCAAGAGCTCATGGCCTCTCCTATTTTATCAGCTGCAAGGGGTGGGGAAGGACAGAGACACAGTTCAGGTGCTACTGGGAACCCCTCCCCCCCCCCACATACATCCATTGAGACATTCTGTCACTCCTGGTTTTAACATGGCACTGTTTCAAACAGCATCAGCGTCACAGAACCGTTGATGGGCACATGAAACGCCTGCCGGCTGGGTTTGTTTTTTTTACATCAGGGTATTTTATCAGTTAAAATTGAGAATCAGAAATCCTAAGTATGCCAGTATTTTGTTCCTAGAAGCCAAAACCATAGACATAGCTTAAAGCATTTCTTCAAATATCACTTGGGAATCAGCAGCTATTTTAATCACAAAGAAAGAAAGAAATTAAATTGCCCCAGGTGGCTCATAAAATGTACTGAGTCAACTTTCGGTATCATTACATGAGAGATCCTGCATATAAGACTGAAGACCTCACTGAAACCAAAGGCCCAGGACAGCCCTTAAAGCATAATAAATCCTTTAGCAATGTTCACTTGGTTTGCTTACACACCATTAGTATGCAGAATTACTCAAATGCCTGGAATGTGGAAAGTTACTTGTTGCTCTTAAGGCACTAAAGTTCACAGCCAAGTAGTTATCAATGGAGCTAGCTACAAATAGCACAAAGTACAGAGTTCCATGTTCTTGACCGAAAGTCATTTCAGCTTTAGAGCACACAAAGGGAACAAAGTCCCGAGATGCACAGCTCTCCTGCTCAAACTCGCTGTTCTGTTCCCCCTCTGCCAATGCAAGGCCTTTAGTACTGGTCCACAAGAGTTTGACCCTAACATGCCTGTAGACTAGTGCTAATACCCGGCCCCTTTCCTTCAATTCAACACGCAGGATAAGAGAACAATCCTATTCTTGTTCAGTTATGGCACTAAGCCATATGGTTTATTTTACTTGCTTCAAGTCCATTTCAATGGGTGTCCGATGTCTTGCTGAAGAACTTTTAACAAAGGAGCAATTACTACAACTAGCAGTTCTCCAGTGACTTTCACACACTATGGGTATGTCTACACTAGCCCCCTAGCTCAAACTAGGGAGGCTAATGAGGGCGACCGAAATTGCAAATGAAGTGCAGGATTTAAATATCCCGTGCTTCATTAGCATGTTCCCGGGCGGTCGCCATTTTGGAAATTGACTAGCCCAGAATAACTGCCCGCATCTACACGTGGCAGTGAAACGGGAGTTCAAAGTAAAGCCCTAACTCGAATTAGCTGTTATTCCTCCTGGAATGAGGTTTAACAGCTAATTTGAATTAAAGGCTTTACTTCGAACTCCCATTTCACTGCCGCGTGTAGACGCAGGCAGTAATTCCGGGCTAGTCAATTTCCAAAATGGCGACCGCCCGGGAACATGCGAATGAAGCATGGGATATTTAAATCCCGCGCTTCGTTTGCAATTTTGGTCGCCCTCTTTAGCCTCCCTAGTTCGAGAGAGGGGGCTAGTATAGACATACCCTACGACTGACAATGTGTTAGTCAGTATGGATTTGTGCTATTGCTTGTTAAGATGCTGGTTTCATTCATAAAGTGGCTCCTTGCATTATTGCTCTGTCATTGGTCATATAAAAGCCAATACAATTAATAAGTCCTGCTAATTACTCTGCTTCAAAAAGCTGAAGAGAAAGGTATTTGTCGCTAATGCCATTAAAAAATAGTGTAACATTTCTGCCAAAAATTCCCACCCCCAAATTAGCACAATAGCACTTTGCAACACTGGGTGGTGCTACTTACAAAAAAAAAAAACATATTTGTATTTATAAATAATATTTTCCAAACTTTAGCTGTGCAAACAAAAGAACTCCCGTCTTGAAAGCCAAATCCGATGGACACAGACCGTCGGGATATGAAATAAATCATTGTGCAGCCAGACAAAGCAAGGTGCAGAGCCTTGGTTGGAGGGAAATTGCCTATCAAAATCAGAAAGGTAACTCCCATTCCTTATGAGTCACTTCTTGATTGCTAAGCAACTACACATACCAACAGATCTCCTTGAGTAAGTGGAATGTAAAGTGACAGAGCTAGATTGCTGCTGCCTTTTCCTTGGGACAGGCGATCTATTTCAATGGTTAAATAAAAATTAGTATAGAAATAAAGAAAGTCACCAAAACTATCATGTGTGGCACTTACCAATAACTTCCAGAAGGAACCACTTAGATTCTTGGGAGTTGGTTCTAAATTGGTACATTCCTTCATCTTCCAACTGCAATTTTATTTGCAGAGTCCAGTTGGTTTTGCTGAAGTTAACTCTCCCTGCATAGGAATGATACAGATCCACCTTTGATTGTTCCTTAAAATACACTATGATGGACAGACTTGGGCTGTCAGCATTTCTGTAGGTCCAATGTACAACCTCAGGACTGTCATTCAGATCTGGCGGATAGAACACCACTGTGCAGCCTGCAGCAGAAGTCAGCTGGTCAGATGTCAGTGTGAGATTGGCATTGTAACACGGAGACAGCGTCTGTGCTGAAAGACAGAAATACAGCATATTTCAGAGCAGTTGTGGTTCTGCATGATCTTCTATTAAGTCCCATTGACTTGATTAGCCAGCTGCTTCTGACCCCACACAGGTCTGAGGGCTGGCAGCCCCATCCAGGGGCCCAGAGAGGCAGGAGCCCTTCTGGATACCAGTTAACCGCTATCCGTTCACATCCCTAGCTGAGATTGGAGTGAATTGCAGCTTTAGGTCCACTGGCAATTGGGAAATAATTCATTTCTGGTTATCCAAATGCAGCATATTTCAAAATATTTTGTGAATCAAAAGCTGGGGTTTTCTGTATTCACAAAAATGAAACACGGCTGTGACCCCAACCATTTTAATTTCGGGGAAGCTCTCAAATTCCTTTGTACAAGGCTAGATCCCATTCAGGTGGGGGAAACACTCACACCAGGACCAGGAAAATCCAAAATTCCTTTCTCTAAGTAAATCCAAATCTTCTGATAAAGAAATCATGATTTAAAAAGCATCTTGTGAGACATCATTAAAGGGGACAGCAGCTGATACTTGCTAGACACCAGTGTTCAACTTCAGCTTTAAAAGGCCTAGTGCTTGTTGCTGCCTGGGTAAGCTCTCTCCCCAAAAACAAATCAAGGAGTCTAGCACGTGTGCTTTGTGTGCCCCGTACAGGCCACAAGACAGATGAGTATATGTAGATGCTCCCTGGTGTCCCCAATACTGGAACTATCCAGGAGAGATTTAAATGCTGCCCAAATGATCAGCAGAACACCCACAACATGTGTTTCTACTGGTGGTGCACATCCACACAGGTCTCAGCGCACATAACAAAATTTATTCTGCACACAAATGGAAACAATTAGCGAGAACAATTGGCTTTATGGCCCAGCTGCTCAACTGCTGTAAACTGGCACCTGTCTATGCAGTTTCTCAGCTGAAGTGCACTGTTCAATTGTTTCTCAGCACACAGTTAGTTGGAGACCTTCCTGGAAAGCATGTTGCAAAATGCCTTAACTTGAAGGATTTATTTAAATACCTTCCCTGAAAGTCAGGACATTCCATTGTTACAAAATCCATACCCCGTGGAACTTGGCCGCATACCATATACCCTCTCGACAATCCACTTCAGCTACTACGTCATGGGGCCCCATTCTGCAGCAAAATCCCTGCAACATCCCATTGGCTTCACCAAATCAGCCCCAGTTGTTAAAGGATCCCTTCAACATTGCTGTTGAAGCCTGGCTTACATTCTCAAGCTACTAGTGATTTAGGCACCTATCCTAAGACTTCAGTCACCACTTGCCTTCCAAAAAGCAGATCCTCTTAAAGCATCTCCTGTTGAGCACTTATGGTCAGAAATACCCAAAAAGATCAATTGATTTTGAAGCGTTAGGGTCTTATCTTTAGAATTTCCTGACGGTGCTTCTATTCTCAACCCAAACAGGGCACTGAACAAGTATTGTGATGTGGCATAATGCAGTAGTTTTCAAACACTGGTAGGCAGTCTTTTTCTGGATGCATGTCAACAGCTTAAATTAGTTTTTACCTGTCACGTGCATGCAGCTTGCTGTTGGAATTTCTTGGACCCAGATGAACACAGTGAGGAAAAAACAAACCAGCAGCTATGAGGAAAGGAAAAAAAGGAGAAAAAAGAAATTAAAAAAAGAAAAATTAGCATCTAAAGCAAGAATGGGGAGGAGAAAGGGAGTGGGCAAAACAGCTTTCCCTGCCTTACAGAGAAAGTAACCCAGCAGCAGCCGGCACACACTCTGGTGTCACTGTCACACACCCAGTCTGTGCCACACTGTCCCTGTGCCATACCAGGGATGTTAAAATACGGTTAATTGACTGGAAATTCCATCGACTACTCAACTAGCCAAGTGGGCCAGCGGGAAGTCCCACTGACTCCGGACTGCAGGCCGGTGCCTGCTTTGAAATGTACACGAGTCCCCAGCAGGTGCTCTTGTGTATTTCAAAGCCATGGAGCCTGGGGCCAGGCAGAGGCCTCCCCAGCTGACTCCAGGTTCCACGGGGGCTGTAGAGGTGGCATTTGAAACGGACAGTGCTGCAGGGCTGATCCCTAGCTCAGCTGTGCAGTGCTGCTGCTTTGAATGACCCTTCCTCACTTTTCCTGCCTCCATCTCATGGTGGGGTGGGTGGAATTGACTAGTCCTTAACATCCTTATGCCATGTGGCCAGTAGACTGTGGCTAGTTCACTCTAGTGCCCGCTGTTTCAGAGCTGTTTGGACACCCCAGCAATGAAGTTTCACTTCCCTCTTGAAATCCTGGAAGATTAGCCAGGTCCTAACCTGACTGCCAAAGCCACATTCAACTTAGCATTGTGTGGGTGTGCAAAAGTACATTTCTTTGTACTGCAGGGGCACATAACTCACACGCCCTCCGAAACCTCTCCGCCTGACTCGCTGATGCAATCAAACAGGCTTCAGGGGCAAAACTCGCCCCCTGAAACTTTCACAGAAAGTTCGATGGCAGCTAATACCCATGGCAGAAAATGTGGACCAGCCACTCGTGTTAAAAACCCGCAACGTGCATTGCCTCCTTTCAGAGCACCTCCCTTTCTAGCCTTTGGGCCCAAGCCCCGCTGATGCTTAAATACAGGCCTAGTTTTACCGAGCTAGGTGCTTAACTATTGACAAACATTCTTACTTCGGAAGTGAGGGTGGTTGCAGTTTTACTGACTCCTACAAGCGCTTATTTCCATGCTGCACTTCACACACACAGGGCACACCAGTTTGGGGAAGGGAGGGGTCAGAAAATAAGAGAAGGGGCGCGCCCGCGGAAACCGCTTCGCCCCGCAGTCGGTGCACCGAGCCCCAGGCGGCCGGAGGCTCTCGCACGTTGCGTTCCGATAAGCGCCCCTCGCCCGCCCTGGGCAGACGCCGGGCAGAAGCGGGTCGGGCTCTGTAGGGCCCCGGGCCGAGCAAACAGGGCCCCTTCCCCTCCCGCAGGGGCGCCCACGTCCCGGGGCCCCCATTGCCCGGGGGGCGGTGGCTGCATCGCTCGGCGCCAGGCTGGTTCCGCCACCTCCAAGCGGGTGTCTGCGCCCAAGTCGGAGACGCGCTGCTCCCCGGGGACGCCACAGACCTGGCCGCGATC